TACGTCAGTGTTAGGATTTTGAATTTGATTCGTTGCACAATCGGAAGCCAGTGGAGGGATTGGCAGAGGGGGGTGGCGGAAACGGAGCGGTTGGTAAGGTGAATGAGTCTGGCTGCCGTATTCAGGATCGACTGAAGCGGTGATAGCCTGTGGCAAGGCAGGCCAGTGAGGAGGGAGTTGAAGTAATGGGGCGGCCAGGTGGATTTAGTAAATCTTTATTTATCTTTGGGTGGTAAAAATAAGGAGTCTGGTAGAACTCCTTTTTAAGAAATGAAGCCTCCATGTTGGAAATTATCAAGTGCTGCATTGATAATAGTATGTGCCTCTTTGGAAAAAACTGGTAGCGGATTGTGTAGTAATTTCTGAGGACACCCATGCATGCTCACTCCCAAGCCGCCTCTATGAGACTAGTGCGACTCTACCCCCCCCCCCATTACTGGCTGTGACTGAGAGCAGCAGGAACCAATGGCTCCCACTGCTGTGTCTCAGCCAATGAGGAAGCAGAGACCTGGGAGAGATTCTACTCCTGTGCACATCACTGGTCAATCAGTGAATATAATTGTGGGGGGGGGGAGGGATGAAGGAGGAGAATGCATTGAATGCACGAAGGCAAAAAACCTTCGGACTTTGGAACCACTTTAATTTTCAACCTTGGAGTTGGGCTTTAATAAACTGCAATATGCTAAAAACACAGCAAAACAAGAAAATGCAGCAAATGCGTGCTAAAAGCAGTAAAACAGCAAAATGCACATTACCAGTGAATGTAAAACAGTGTTCTGAATGTATCTTGACACAGTGCTAACATATACACAGCATCACTGCAGTAAATGTTTAGTACAGTATTTTCTACGTGGTTTCCCATGTGTTAAGTATACAAGAGAGCACAGATGGGTGAATGGATGCAAAGCGTTGCTACATCCATTTAGGAGGTGGATTGCCATGCTAAAACCTCTGTTGTTTTTGTAGTATACTGCACACTCGCTGTTAATTTTCCCTTGTGTATAACACCATGCAGAATCCCTGTACTAAAGAAGCTTTAACAAGAAGGTGTTTCATCCTTCGGCATTCACACAGATTAGTGCCCAGAGATAAGAAATGGAGACATTTCCAATAATGCACGGCTTTAGACTTTTAACAGCTCTTTGCCTGCAAAATGGAGCAGAACATAATGCTGTGTTCACAGAATTATATTTATGTTATGGTCTGTAATTGATTCCAATTGTCTAGTGGTACTCAGAATAAAGCAGGGATATATAATGCAATATTATTCAGGCTCATCTTGCATATTTACACCCTTGCACAGAGACACATTTGTTCAACATCCTTTTGAAATAAGTCACATTAACTGGAAAGTAATGTTAATTAATTAGGAAAGAGACAATTGCTTTTAGCAGATTGCTGAGTCTAGAGGAAGCTAAAGAGGAAATTACTAAGATGAGCAAAGATTTTAGGACTTAATATTGAAGAACATTTGTAAGCAGCACAAAAAATACGCAACCTAATATTTGTTTGTTGCTAATAATTTTGAAAAATAATACTTAACGCGTATATCCAGCCAAAAAAAAGCTTAAGGGCAAGTTCACAGTTCAGTTCAGTGCACTTTTTTCTGCATCAAAAATGCATGCACAGTGTTTTCCATGTACAGTTGTGCTCAAAATAATAGCAGTCAGACATCACTAACCTGAGCAATCACTGTTTTTGGCAGAAATTATATTTCTACATGGCAAATAATTTACTAGCAGGTGTAGTGGAGTAATAGAAATCCAACGGACCCAACAGTCCTGACATGCATGCTGCTGATTCTGTGTAATTGAATCACTAATTAAAAGGGGCATGTTCAAAATAATAGCAGTGTGGAGTCCTATTAGTGAGGTCATTCATTCTTTGAAAAGCAGGTGGCAAATATTGCCCTTATTTAAGGAAGGAAGGCAGCAAATGTTGTACATGCTGGTTACAGTGCATTTCTCTCTGACATTCTGAGGAAAATGGGTCGTTCCAGGCATTGTTCAGAAGAACAACGTACCTTGATTGGTTGATTGGAGAGGGGAAAACATATAAAGAAGTGCAGAGAATGATAGGCTGCTCAGCTAAAATGATCGCAAATGCTTTAAAATGGCAACCAAAACCTGAAAGATGTGGAAGAAAGCGAAAAAAACTACCATTCGAATGGATAGAAGAATAGCCAAAATGGCAAGGACTCAGCCAACAATCAGCTGCAGGAAGATCAAAGAAGGTGTAAAGTTACCTGTGAGTACTGTTACAATTAGAAGACACCTATGTGAAGCCAAGCTATCTGCAAGAAGCTCCCGCAAAGTCCCACTGTTGAAAAAAAGACGTGCTGAAGAGGTTACAATTTGCCAAAGAGCACATTGACTGGCCTAAAGAGAAATGGCGCAACATTTTGTGGACTGATGAAAGTAAGATTGTTCTTTTTGGGTCTAGTGGCCGGAGACAGTTTGTCAGACGACCCCCAAACACTGAATTCAAGCCACAGTACACTGTGAAGACAGTGAAGCATGGTTGCACAAGCATCATGATATGGGGATGTTTCTCATACTACGGTGTTGGGCCTATTTATCGCATACCAGGGATCATGGATCAGTTTGAATACATCAGAATACTTGAAGAGGTCATGCTGCCTTATGCTGAAGAGGAAAGTCCCTTGAAATGGGTGTTCCAACAAGACAATGACCCCAAACACACCAGTAAACGTGCAACATCTTGGTTCCAGACCAACAAGATTGACGTTATGGAGTGGTCAGCCCAATCCCCGGATCTTAATCCAATAGAAAACTTGTAGGGTGACATCAAAAATGCAGTTTCTGAGGCAAAACCAAGAACTAGAGAAGAACTGTGGAATGTAGTCCAATCATCCTGGGCTGGAATACCTGTTCACAGGTGCCAGAAGTTGATTGACTCCATGCAACACAGATGTACAGCAGTTCTCAGAAACAGTGCTTATACAACTAAATATTAATTAAGTGATTCAAAGGAAAGCAAAACCTTCAAACATTTTTCAGTTTATATAGTGAATGTTTGTTTGTAAAGAAGAATACAAACACTGCTATTTTTTTGAACAGTCTAATATTCACTTTTCTTCAGTTTTTTTAGAGGAACAACACAAATTTGATATATTTTTCTTCATGTTTTGATTTGGAATAGAATGTGTAGTGTCCCCAATGCATTTGTGTGTATCGAAATAAAAGCTATTAGAAGGATTTTGAGCTTTATTCACTTTTTTCAACACACTGCTATTATTTTGAACACAACTGTATATCAATGGCCCTAGTTCACACCAGTGCAGTCAGTTTCCGGTGCAGAAAAAAAAAAAGTGTAACATGCTGCATTTGTTCTGCACAGAACCATACTGGAATATGGCAAACTGCATCAAAACTGCACCAGAACTGCGTGTGGTGTGAACTGTAGGCAAAAATGTATCCAGAATGTATCCAGAGTGCATTTTTGTAGTGTGAACTGGCCCTAAATATTAATGGCTAGAAAAAAAGAAATAAAAAAAAAAAAAACTGCAGGAAATGAATAGTGAAAGGGAGAAGGGGAAAAGGAGTTAATGATAATGAGGGATGATAAGGGAAAGATAAGTATTTGGCCTTGTGAACACTGGGAACCAAAAACACCACTTTTAAGGGCATTTTACTTTTTTTCTGCCTCTAAATGCCCTCCATGTTGGCCTATGTGTCCTTATACACACAGGCATTTGGAGACAGAAAAAAAAAAAAATCACTTGCGCATTTAGGAGAGGAGCATTCCAACAGGAACAAAATGCTGAACGTGCATAAATTTGCCTAAGCTCTAGGCACATTTAGCACTGGAGCATTCATTCACTTCAATGGCCAAATAAATTAGTATTTTGGCCAATTAAAAATGAATGAACGGCAAATGCCTGACACGCCTGAACGTGCCTAAAAGCATTTGCAAAATGTGGCTTTAGTTGTGTTTTTAACACTGTTTTTCTCCTGCCAGAAGAAAAGGTGTTCAGAAGAGCTGGGCACACGACTGGTGTGTATGAGGCCTTAATAAAGGATTATATAGGAACACATTTTGATAAAATATATAAATAGGTGTGCAACACCAAAGTTATTATACAAATGTCCAAATGTGAAAAAAAGTCCATGAACCGTGAAACATAAAATATTGCAGTGTATATAAAGTCTATAATATAATTTGTTATAAATTCTGTAAAGATTACCACTGTGTCTAGATGGCGAAGCAACTTATTTCCAAATATGCTACACTCCACCCTCAAGTGAATGGCAAACTCACCAGATGATATTCATGTATTTTTGTACAACTGTATCAGCATCTGTATTCAGTAGAGATATATTCTTCGACCAGTAGATGGCAGTGTTTATAAGTTTGTAGCTGCATCTATGGTTGTACTCTATGTCTTTTCTCTATAATAAAGTTCTTGTTTCCTGTTAGCAGAGAACCAGCATATAAACACATGTGGGCTGTGCACTGTCTGTTCTGTAGGGCTATATACAGAACCTCTAACATCAGAAAACGTAGCTGTATAACATACAGTCTGAAACAATGCAATCAAATAATCACAGCTCACTTGCACCTCTTCCAGGATGTGGGTTTGCTTCCAGGTAAGGAAAAGCAGCCAGCTGAAAACAGCACTGAGACAGAAAGAAACTCACCCCAGTGAGTATAATAAAACTATGGTGCAGTATTTATTAATCCAATTGTTACAGATAAACAATCAGTCATGAAAAACTGTTCCACTCACATAGAAAGCCACTGCTCATCATCCGAGACAAAGGCGTGACATCAGCTCTACGGTCTCCGCCCCCATGCGTTATATCCAATGAGATGCCTCCTCTGAGGCGTTTTCTGGTGAGTTTGACATTCATTTGAAGGTGGAGTTGAAAATAAGTTGCTTCATCATCTTTACAGAATTTATCACAGATTATATTACCCACTTTATATATACAGCATAATTTTATGTTTCATGGTTTTTTTTTTCACATTTGGACATTATACACTATATTGCCAAAAGTATTGGGACACTCCTCCAAATCACTGGATTCAGGTGTTCCAATCACCTCCATGGCCACAGGTGTATAAAATCAAGCACCTAGGTATACAGACTGCTTCTACAAACATTTGTGAAAGAATGGGTCGCACTCATGAGCTCAGTGAATTAAAGCGTGGTACCGTGATAGGTTGCCACCTGTGCAATAAGTCCATCCATGAAATTTCCTTGCTACTAAATATTCCATGGTCAATTGTTAGTGGTATTATAACAAAGTGGAAGCAACTGGGAACAACAGCAACTCGTTTCAACAACAGACCACGTAAAATGACAGAGCGGGGGGTCAGTGCATGCTGAAGTGCACAGTGTGCAGAAGTTGCCAACTCAAGTCGTCAATAGCTAAAAAACTCCAAACTTCGTGTGACCTTCAGATTAGCACAGCAGTGCATATAGAGCTTCATGGAATGGGTTTCCATTACCCAGCAGCTGCATCCAAGCCTTACATCACCAAGTGTAATGCAAAGCGTCAGATGGAGTGGTGTAAAGCACGCCGCCACTGGACTCTAGAGGAGTACTCTGGAGTGTCAAATCACGTTTCTCTGTCTGGCAATGTGATGGACGTGTCTGGGTTTGGCGGTTGCCGGGGGAACGGTACTTGCCTGACTGCATTGTGCCAAGTGTAAAGTTTGGAGGAGGGGGGATTATGGTGTGGGGTTGGTTTTCAGGGGTTGGGCTTGGCCCCTTAGTTCCAGTGAAGGAAACTCTTAAGGCATCATTATACCAAGGCATTTTGGACAATTTCATGCTCCCAACTTTGTGGGAACAGTATGGGGATGGCTCCTTCCTGTTCCAACATGACTGCACACCAGGCACAAAGCAGGTCCATAAAGACATGGATGAGTGAGTTTGCGGTGGAGGAACTTGACTGGCCTGCACCTCAACCCGATATTACAACTTTTGGGATGAATTAGAGTGGAGACTGCGAGCCAGGCCTTCTCATCTCACATCAGTGCCTGACCTCACAAATGCACTTCTGGAAGAATGGTCAAACATTCCCATAAACACACTCCTAAACCTTGTGGACAGCCTTCCAGAAGAGTTGAAGCTGTAATAGCTGCAAAGGGTGGGCCAACTCAATATTGAACCCTACGGACTAAGACTGGGATGCCGTTAAAGTTTGTGTAAAGGCAGGCGTCCCAATACTTTTGGCAATATAGTGTATTTTATATAATAACTTTGAAGCTGCACACTTATTTATATATTCACTATTAAGGTTTGTGTATTTACCTTTAGTGTGCAAACTTCCCTGTTCTCATTAGCACTGACTTTTTGCTATACATTTTATTAAAAAAACAGAGTTACAATGTTATCTTGTATCTCTTGGGCCCGGTTGACATCTATGCGGTTTTATGTGCTGCATTTGGGTGGGCATGGCACCCCATTCATGACCTCTAAATTAATCCATATGTTATTCTGAAAAGCCAATATGAAGAAAAAGTTTTTGCAGGACTCATGGTTTGTATATATGTTTTTGGGGAGCGGTATGTTCTTTGCAAGCATACTTTGTGCTAAAAGGGGTCCCTATTTCTCATCTCAGAACGTTGGGAGCAGGGGCGGACTAACAACTCATGGAGCCCCGAGCAATAGGGGATCATGGGGCCCCTGTGTCCTTGCCCAAACTCAAAAAAGCCTATGAAAAAGATACCAGGGGCATCTCATGGGGCCCCCTACTGACCCCAGGCCCCCAGGCAGTGCCCGAATTTTCCAAATGGTCAGTCCGCCCCTGGTTGGGAGATATGCCCTGCCTCAGAACTGTTGTAATATCTTACATATGAGGGATTAATTTGGCAAAGATCTCATCAGGACACTATCTATAAAAATGTACAGTTGATACAGTGTGCACTCATTCTTTAACAATTATACAACCATTACACATATATGCAGCACCAGGGCAGGGGGTCTTAATGCCCAGACACCGCATAAATGCATCACTATCTTTTTCTGGGGCACATTCTGTTGGCACCCCCAGAACTGGGACTGAGCTATCATTGAGAGCTCACAGTCAACTATTGATGATCAAGAGTTGGCAGGCAAGGCTCCTTATAACGTCAGCATTGTGCAATCAATGACATTATGGCAAGATTGGAAGTCTACATGCTCTGGGCATCAAAGCCCATTTAAAGTGCCAGCTCTGTGCTGACTTCAAACCACCCTTGACCTTCATTAGTTTTCTGCAACAGCAACCATGCAAAATGCCTCTTTTTTCACACTTGTCCTGTATTATTCTATACATTGGGCACTGTATTGACTTGTGCATTTTGCTATGCACTTTGCAGTTACTGACATGAGCATTGGTTGTCTGCATGTCTTGTTCTGTTAGTAGTTTGCCTTTTGGATAGTCTGTTCTTTGCTTCTCTGATGCGTCAGCAATCATACAATAACACCAGCTTGTGCTTTAAACGTTTCATTGGTTCCGTTCAGGGGCGGACTGACCATTTGGAAACTCAGGCACTGCCCGAGGGCCCGGGGTCAGTAGGTTGCCTTTTTCATAGGCTTTTTTGAGTTTGGGCAAGGACACAGGGGCCCCATGATCCCCTATTGCCCGGGGGCCCCATGAGTTGTTAGTCCGCCCCTGGTTCCGTTGATTGACACAGCTTTGTCTATCAGACACACACTTCTGATTTGTGCAAATGCTGTAGCTGGGAAAGCGTACTTTTCTAGCATTATTCATTTTTATGTTGTCCTTTTGGGTGCAGATTTCAACCTTATGAGGTTGATTTACTAAAATTGCATGGTGCACACTATGGTGCAGCTCTGCATAGAAACCAATCAGCTTCCAGGTTTTATTGTCAAAGCTTACTTGAAAAAGCTGAAGTTAGAAGCTTATTAGCTACCATGCACAGCTGCACCAGATTCTGAGTGCAGCAGTTTTAGTAAAGCTTCCCCTATGTTACCATTTTCTTGTCTTTTTCCAGAAGTACAGGGCGTGGTTCCAGTAAACTAGAGCGGGAGGAAACACAGCAACAGTGATTTAAAAATATATTTTTTAACTAAATGCATTAAAGGAACAAAATAATAGCATTCACAAATGAAGTCCTGACGCACTTAACCTCCCTAGTGGTCTGATTATATGAATATTTCTGTGCTCAAAGCGGTACATTTATTTGCATGGAAATATGTTGTTTTTTTATTGTAGGCCTGTAATTCTTAGGAATAATTTACTGAAATCTGTCAAGAGTCTAGTAAACATTCCGGGTTTGATAAAATGTGAAACACGAAATCATAAATTATAATATAATAAATAATCATAAAAAATAATATTATAATAATAAATATAATTCAATAATGTAATCAAACCAAAAACACTGAAATTTGAAATATAGCACTAAGTTCGCATATCACTGAGCTTAGGCGCAAAATCGTTTTCAGTGTCTGATGACGAATTTCCCCACGAATCATTATCACTCAATTCTGCAAGTGATTCTAATTTACTATCGGTGTTCTCTAGCTGGTCTAAAACTGCTTTTGACCTAAAGGGACGCTTTTTGGATGCCATGGACATTTCTCAGTTTCCAGGCAGAAAGAACAGTAAAAATGCAGGCAGGGCACAGGACAAAACACTAGGGACAAAATATATGTGAAATGGTTTGATACAGTAATGTAATACTATAAGATTTTAGTGTATTTAGTGAATGTCACATTTTCACATTTTTGAATTTCCCGCCAGTTCCATCCCCTGTACGTTCCGTACATCCTGACACTCTCAGGGAACGGAACCCGGAAGACTGGAGGAGATGGCCGGGGACGCTGCAGGGGGGCATCGTGGGAGCGCAGGACAAGATAAGTGCAAGTGGGAATCTCTGAGCAACGCTGCAGTGTAATCCCGAGTGTAGCTGAAAAGTTAACCCCGAGCTACACTTAAGAATACTGCCAGGGGGGTTAAACAGAAGTTAAAACACCAGGCCAAATTTTGGGTTTTTTTGGAGCTTTTTGCCATAATGTGACAATATACACAGCATATTATCAACCTAAGTTACATAGCAAAGTAATCCCTCCAGAGCTAAAATGTCAGAGCTGTCCTCAGGTGCTTCCATCTACTACGCTCTTCTTCTATTTTTAGAGTCTTCTGCCTCTTGAATGGCTGGACCCAACTGAAGTGCCTCCTGCACATAAGAAAGCAAAAAAAGGGTGCACTCTCCTCATGCATTACTGTGGTAAAAAATTAATTTACTAAAATGCATAAATATGCATACTCACAAACCAAAGGAGATAAAAACAGAGACAAAGATCCAGTAGTATCGGTCCCAAACAGCAGGAAACCCTCTATGTGATAAGCTAATGTGCTTCGGGAGTTGAACTCCCTTGAGGTTCATTATTTCAGCTCTGAAGAAGGGAGTAAGTATACATCTTTACGCGTTTTAATAAATTCACTTTTTGCCACGTTAATGCATGAGCAGAGCGCACCCTTTCTTTGCTTTCTTTTGTCAGTACCAAGATTTCCCGATCTTTCGAGGGCTGCACCTCAGAGAACGACAGATTCTGTGCTCCCATATAGCATGAACATTTGAGCGCTGGTTTTGTTTATCTTGTAGCCTCCTGCACATGCGCATGAGAGTTATTTCATCCAGGTAACAGGATTGAACCCAGATTGTACCCTGAGCTGTGAATGAATGGTTCACTTACAGAAAAGAATCATAACAGATAGTTTTCAATGTGTCCCTCTCACCTCTTGCTTTCTTGACAACTATAAAATGTATAATTTCCTCTCTGATGGCAGTGGTGAGCAGGATAAATAGAGAGGGTGAATTTCCCCAGCAAGGAAATAGGTCACGATAAAAACTTGCATTGAAATCACAGACCATATATCTTAGTGTTGCATGAAAGACAAACTGGCAGCACAATATAGCACATACAGAATGGTAAAGAGCCTTGTCATTTGTCCATTGTCAGTTTCTAGACAAATGAAAGAATAATCCATTTAACAGTCTACCAATCTCATTAAACAGTACTAAAGAAACACAACCACTTCACAAAACAGATAATGAATTAATTAGATCAAACAATTACACATACTATATTTGAAGACACAACATTTCAAGATAATGTAATGGAAGCTATTAAAATGCTATTAAAATACATGTTTTTATCAATGCTGAGTAACTGATGTCAACAGACGGAAAATAATACATGACTGTACATTCATAATTCATACCAAACGGACAGAGACTATACTTGGAAACAGTAATGCATTATTTTTATACCTTCAAAAAAAGCCCATGTAGAGGATAAAATGCTCATTAAGTCTAAAAGTGCATGGATCAGGTGTAATACTTACCTTATTCTTCGCCCCAGCAAGGTCCATCCAGCTGTGTGACCAGTCTCAAAGTCTCCTCTCTAAGGTGCTCTCGGTCATGGATGCATACCTGCCTCCTCCAGCAACAATCCAAGGTTAAACGCCCCCCCCAAAAAAAGAAAACCACATGCAGCTACATGAGTTCCTGCTATGCAGAGGTGTGAAAGGGGCTTGACAGTGTCTCTATCCACTCCCTCCTATGTACTTGAATAAA